CCTGCTGCTTCCTCTCCCCTCCAGACGTGCATTGGTTTTGCAGCAGCCCTCGCGCTGCTACAGCCTGCCTTGGTGTGCACGCCTTGCCAGAGCCACCAAGGCTGTGAAGGGCAGCGGAGCTGGCCCTCCCTGGGTGTTGTGTCCCCCATGCCTCGTGCCCATCTGCTTTTGGCTTGTTTAAGCTGCAAAATATTTAATTGGATGTACTCTGCTTATCACCGTTTGAAAGAAATACTTCAGGTCTTTTAGATGCTTCCTCTGAGCTTGAGGAACAGCTCTGAGCTTGAGCTTACAGCTCAAATTCAAGCATGAGCACAATTACTAAATGCCATATCCATGAATTCCCAATGCCAGCTGCTTTGGATTTCTTGAAACCCATGATTTATAGCTAATTCAGACACATGCATCACCATGGAGGCACACACCAGGCTGTGTGCGAGAACCTGATCACCTGAATTAACTGTGAAAAAAGCCAGCCACCCTGTTTGGTTCATTTGGGAAGCGGAGGATGCAAGGGTCCCTGTCTGCAGCAGCACCCCGAGCAGCAGCAGTGGCAAACGTAGCTGTGTGCATGGGCTCAAAACCAGAGCTTTGCAGGGAAGGTGCAAACCTGCCTGTACGGATGTGTCTGGGGAAAGGACAAGGCTGTCGTGAAGGCAAACAGAGAGTGAGGGATTTTTAATCTCCATCAGATGTAGGCGGGGAAGGAGGTCACCTCTAGAGATCTTGTAAACATAACCTCCTCTGTCTAGTAATGTTTGAGTTTGCAGGCTGGATCCAAAGCAAACAGTGGGAGTGCAAAAGAGGCTGTAGGAGAGCATCCTGCAATGTGTTGGGCCATACGAGATGCCTTGTAAAACAGAAGGTGTTCCCATGACTCTTGGCAAGGGATGTAGCCTGACAATCCACAACCTCTCTGCTAATCCTGGAGCGACGGGAGAGGCGGGGAGATCAGCGGTTTTGTGCCGATGAAAGGAGCATGTATATAATTTATCTTGTCTGAGGCGCTTGAGGCTGTTTCCAGTGGGAAAGCTGAGCTGTAATTAGGTTGCTGATGAGCCTTGCACACAAACCCTTCAGCTCTATAAACTATGCCTTCAAAGGCATCCCTTCTCCTAGGGACCGACCAAGGAGGATTTGGAGCAGTATTTCCAGTGAGCTGATGGATGCCTTTCTGAAACCAGATGCTCGACAGCCAGCCGCTCCACTTACCATCACTGAAAGCCTTGAAGCCTGTTGACTTTCTCAGCCCATCGCTAAACCCCATAGCTGCAAGGGGATGCTTTGGTAGAGGAGTGCCCTTCCTGGATCGGTTTCTCACCCATCTCTGCTGTGAGCTGCCCTGAGCTGCTCCCTGGGGGAGGTCCAGCTGGTCCCAGCAACCTTCGTGGTACTGGCCGGGATGTAGAGGTCTCGCTTGGACACAGGACATGGTGCTTGTCGATTTGATTTCTGTAAAGGGTTTTAAGGTTTTGGGGAGTACTTCTCTAGGAAAGCCCTTATGAAATATTCAACCTACTGGGCTTTTTGCTGCTAAATCCTGGGTTCAAAACCAACAAGGAAGCACTGCTTTATTCCCATCTTCATTTCGCTCAGTGTAGACAGAGAAAGAAAATATTAATTTTCTTAGAAGAAAGAAGACCAGCCAGTCCAGGAAAGATGGAAGCCCTCACAGGAACACCCTCTTTTACACTATTTTGAGGGCTCAGCCGTAATACTGATCTCCAGAGCTCAGGGCCTGCAGTGGGCAAGAAAGCATGGAGGAGGAGAAAACTTCTTGCTGAGTGTTGTGGCCTGGGGAAGGCTAGGCTGGAAGCGTGGCTTGGGCCCCTTATTTACTGGTGCAGCGGCTCTGCCAGCAAAATCTGATGCCGTAGCAAGCCAGCAGAAAAGTGGCTGCAGTCTGGCTGTGCTGCCTGCTGTCTGTCAGTGATAGAGCAGCCAGATTGCATCGACTCTGCCTCATCCTCTGGTGCCCCAAATTAATGCTTGCTTGGTGGTGTCAAGCACTGAATGGGTGCAAACCAGAAAGGTGCAACAGGGCACCCTGGAAAGAGAGGGATACTTGGGAACCCTCATCCAGAGAGAGAAAAATAAGAGGGTTACAAGTTTGACATACCTGACCAGAGCATGTAGTCTCTACCAGCTAATCCTCTTTGGGTTCTGCAGTAGTAGGTGGGTGTTCCTCACGTGGACCCATGCAGTTTACTGGCCTCCATCCACAGAAGGATGAAAGTGCTAGGCTGAGCAGGGGTCTCAGGGGGACTTGGGGTGGAAGTCAGCTTCCCCAGCTGCAGGCTGACTCTGCTCGAAGGGACCTACCCTGTTCTCTTCATGGTCACCGTCACTGCTGGTACCTCCCAAGGCAGTTTGTGTCCCTGTCCTGGCTACCTGGTCCCACCTAGGAAGGGAGAGGTGACTGGTTGTCGTGAGGGAAGCTGGAGGAGCTGTGAGTATGTATTTTTTTATTGCTAAATATAGATAATTATTTGATATCTATCTGTTTCCCATAGCCACCTGTTTGATATTCTGCTAAGTAAGGTCTCTGGCAGCTTTTCTTGCTGGTCTGTCCTGCACAGGGGCAGCCAACGCTGGCCCGGGATGCTACTGACATTGTCCCCTGCTCTCGCCTTCAGGCCACGGAGAGTGTCACTGCGGGGAGTGCAAGTGCCACGCCGGTTACATCGGGGACAACTGCAACTGCTCCACCAGCACGGACGGCTGTGTGTCCAGCGACGGACAGATGTGCAGCGACAGGGGCAGCTGCGTGTGTGGGAAGTGTCAGTGCACTGAGCCTGGGGCTTTTGGAGAAACGTGCGAGAAGTGTCCCACCTGCCCAGGCATCTGCAGCACTAAACGGTACTCTTGGGGGGAAGGTTCAGGAGGGACTTCACTGGTAAGATGGGTAGCTCTTTGGTTTCTGGGAGACTTTTCAGCTAAGGCACTACACCCACTTTGTTAAACAGGGTTGATTAGCCCTAGGCAAGGCTGTCACTGCTTGGAGGCAGCACTAAGCAACCTGAGAGCATCCCAGGCAAAGAAGCAAGTGTTGCTGCCCAAGTCCCCATGGAGGTTCCTGTCTCTGCTCATTTCCAGTGCTGCCCCACTTTGCAGGAGGGGATAGCAACTTCAGTTTTGCTGCATCCTGAGCTGCAAATGCCTGTGCCCAGAGAGCTGCAAGCTGCAGAGGAAGGGCTGATGGGGATGCCTGCCTGCCTCACAGTGACAGAGTTGCCCTGGGCATCATCCTCAGACCGGCGCAGAGCAGCACTGCTGCCTGCCTTGATCTCGGGCAGGATGGATTTTGCAGTAGCTGACACGCAGCTCGCAGCATCCAAAGGGCAAACAGTCCCCAAACCTACCACCTGTTTTGCACCTTCACCGAATTCCTTCACCTTCACCTTCACCCTGGAATAAATCCATCCTTGAGATGGAGATGCTTGGCCCTAAATTTTCGCATTCCTTGTAGTGCACATGTGCAGCCTTTGGACCAACACCCAGGGATTCCTTTTCCGAGGGCAGAATCTCTATGTTCATGCAGTTTTCTGACAGGTGCTTAATCTTCCCCTCCACGTGTCTTTCCGCAGGGACTGCATTGAATGCAAGCTGTTTAACTCAGGAAGACTGGCTGATAACCAAACCTGCCAAAAGCACTGCAAGGACGAGATCATCACCACTGTGGATGTTCTCGGTAAGTAGGTGCAGCACTGCAGGCGGTGGGAGCCAGCGACCGTGGGGTTGAACTCCTCTTAACCAGGTCTGTAAAGAAAGCCTCAGGGAACACCCGGTGTTTAGAAATGTGTGTGTGTATGTAGTGTGTATTTGTGCAAACAGGGCATGCGTGACCCTCTCTCTGGGCTGTAATCTATATTGAAGTAAAAAAACCTTTGATTTTAAATAACATCTTAAAATCAAGATGTGGGGGAACCACTAGTGCAAGGAACAAAGAGAGTGGAATTGAGATCAGATGAGACGGAAGATTAGATGAGTGTGAGGGAGTGTGAAAGGACAAAGTAGCACTCAAAAAAGACATTCTCTAATCTTCTGAGAATTTATCTTGGGTGAAGGAAGTCTGTAAGAGAAAGCAAGGCTGTTTTGGAGATGGTGAGTTCTGCTTTGGTGGAACGGACTGCTCCTCTCCTGCCCTCTATGTTCTCTTCCAAAGGTCATCCCACACGTGTGTCCCTCAGCAGATGACTTTCTCCTTCGTCTCAAGCTCCATTCTGGAGTCCCTGTTTGCTATCTGGGGGCACAGAGTGGACCCAAACATGGACAGCTTTAACTGCAATCCTCACCCTGGCCTTAGCAACACCCTTTGGAGGGAGGAATGGATGGGGAGGCTGGTGTTTCTAGATCAAGTAGGGATAAATTGCATTCCACAGCTGACATTTCCTCCTTCTCTTCCCATAGTTTATAGAGGTAGGAGTGCTCTGCCTTGCTTGCCCTCTCTCCCTTCCTCCCGAGCTGCCTGCAGGTGATGTTTTTCCCATTGACTCCTCTCATATCCAGTGTCTAGCTTTTAAATTATGAGCAGTGAGGTTTCCTACCTTTTCTTCTGGGAGACTTGCTCCTGTTCTCTCCATCCTCCCTGTGGTTTACAGGGGTGTGCACCTACACCAGCACACTGCCAGAGGTTACGAGGCACTTCCAAACCACACGAATCTTCTTCCTGATGCCTGGCTGGCCTGTGTTTCTTAGGAGCCAGAAAATAATAGGGATTAAAGTTCAACTGTCCTGCCTGGGTGTTGCACCATGCTAAAGCCAGCTTTTGTGTTGACTGTGCCCTGGGAGGTGAGGCTGGGCTGTGGTTTGCCAACTCCCTGCATGGCTTTCAGAGGAAAACACAGCCAGATTTCTGGTTTAAGACATTCTGGGGAATTAGACTTAACCCTCTGTTAAACTACGGCAATCAGATTGCGGGTGGTGCTGAGCACTTGGTACCTCAAGGTACTCTGCACCTCGGAGATCTGGGCTACTAGAGAAAGGTAAAGCAAAATATTCCTATAGAAAATGCTTGGGTACTACGGACTACTGGTGGGCAAAAAGCTGAACATGAGCTGGCCGTGTGCGCTGGCAGCCCAGAAAGCCAACCGTATCCTGGACTGTGTCAGGAGAAGTGTGGCCAGCAGGTCGAGGGAGGGGATTCTGCCCCTGTACTCTGCTCTGGTGAGACCCCACCTGGAGTGCTGCATCCAGCTGTGGAGCCCTCAACATCAGAAGGATATAGACTGGCTGGAGTGAGTCCAGAGGAGGCCACAAAGATGCTCAGAGGGCTGGAGCACCTCTGCTATGGGGACAGGCTGAGAGAGTTGGGCTTGTTCAGCCTGGAGAAGAGAAGGCTCCGGGGAGACCTTATTGCCCCTTCCAGTGCCTGAAGGGGCTACAAGGAAGCTGGGGGGGGCTTTTTACAAGGGCCTGTAGTGACAGGACAAGGGGTAATGGGTTTGAATGGAAAGCAGGGAGGTTTAGATTAGATATCAGGAAGAAGTTCTTCCCAGAGAGGGGGGTGAGGCACTGGCACAGGTTGCCCAGAGAAGCTGTGGATACCCCATCCCTGGAAGTGTTCAAGGCCAGGCTGGATGAGGCTGTGAGCAACCTGGTCTAGTGGAAGATGTCCCTGCCCATGGGAACAAGACCAAGAGATCATCATTACTATCGGGACTCTAATCAGAGTCTCTTTTAGCAGAATAATGGTGCAAGGATGGGATTGAAAGCAGCTGGGTCTGAAGGAACTAAGATTTCCTGCTCAACTCAAAGGGCATTAGTCAAAAAGCACAGAAATTTTATCAATATTCATCTAATTAGTACTTTGTATTGTACTAGCTTTGTATTAGCACTTCTCCAGCCCTGATACCACTGCGTAGTTAGAGCAGGTTTTCCTGTCTCGAGGTAGGAACAGCTGAGGTCTGTCCACACCAGGAACCCCATAAGGACTCACCACAGGGGCAGTTCCATCTGGGCTCTGAGCTGTTGGAATGGAGAGTATTAATCATTCGACTGGAAGTAGGTCAAAGGCATTGAAAGGCAAGACAAATAGACAGGAGAGAGAGAGAGATAAGGGGCTGGAATAGCACTGGTCATTAACACAAATATTTTTCTGCATGACAGACAGGCACGAATAGGAGTGAGGAGGAGAGCTGTGGGCAGCATTTTCCAGGTGCTTAAGCCAAGGTCATGTCTTTGCCAGCCAATGGCACTGGGTGCCCAAATCCCTTCCTCTCCCTTGAAACCCTCAGCCAATGCAGGCCTACAGAGATGTGCTCCTGCAGAGCTACCTGGCTGCAGGTGTTGCCCCATCTCCCCCCAGGCACTGTCCCTGCAGCAGGGACTCCCCACAAGCTGCGTCGGTGAAGGGCAGTGGGTCTGCTGAAATCACCTCTGAAGACAGAGCTGCAACCCTTAGAGGATGGCTTTGCTGAAACTTTGTCATGGCTTTTGTGAAGCCGCCTTCCTCAGGAAGCATCTTATAGTGACAGAGCAGCAACAGGCCCTGCCTGGTGCTACGGTGTGTGAAAGAGGCAAAGAGCATCCATATGGCCATGGAAATCAGGTAGTTTAATTTCTTGCAACTCCCCCATCCCCACATCCTCCCCTAACCAGCTCTTCCCTTCCCCCTCGTTCCCTCTTCCCCTCCCCATTTTCCCCTTCCATCTCACCCTTTAAAACCAAACTCCTCAACTGTTTGCAGCACAGCTGGAGCAGGAGCCAGCCACGGGCTGATGCTGGCCCTGTCGCGTCCTCGCAGGCTGAGGCTCTGCCCCTCGCTTTCTCTTCAGCGTCCACACTTCAAGAAATGTAGCAAATTAACAAGAAAACGGCATTTATTGCTGAAGCTGTGTGCATGTGTGAGGTTGTGTGAGTCTGCCGTGCGGTATTTGCTGAGTGCCACATTTTCTCAAGCAGTCATTCTGGATGCAGCTTAGTTACAGTTCGCACAAATTGTGATCAAACTGTGCTGCTTTCCAGGCTCACTCCCTATTCCTCAGCTCCCAGGTATCCCGTGGGAAGCCCTGCTCAGTTTGAAGGGAGAAGTGTGCTAATTCTCAATATTAAACCTGCCAACTACGTCAACCAAGTGCCGTATTGCAGCTTTAGACATAGCCGGTCAGAAAGGGTGACTAGATCAAAAATCCAGGGAACCCATGCCATTGCCAGTTGTTAGGGGGGAATGAGCTTACAAAGAAGAGGGTGTTGGAAGCATTTGTGTAAGAAATTAGGATACAAGAGTTCTGCAGTCTTTAGGAATCTTTTTTAATATTTAAAAAAAAAAACCAAACCAAAACTCTGCAACTCTCTGTCTCGTTCCAGAAACAGATGACCCGAACGCGATCCTCTGTGCCTACCCGGTGAACAACTGCGTCATGAAGTTCACCTACTCGGAGCTTGCCAGTGGGAAATCCAACCTCACCGTCCTCAAAGAGCCAGGTTAGCCCTTCCTTGGGTTTCCTTTTAATAGCACAGGCTGCCTGGGGAGAGACGATGGGCTGCTGGGGCGCCGGGCGGGTGGTGGAAAGACTGGTTTCACTGGCTGCTCAAAAGCATGTGCAAGCACATGTACCAGGATGGTTTAGAAGAATAGAATGTTTTACAGTGCTGAAACACATCTCCAAATTCTTCCAGTTCCGTAAAGTAAGACTCTGGGAGGGAAACATGCACCTGAGCTACCAGCATTGCTAGCAAGTGGCTGAAGGGCTTTCTGCCAGCTTGGGATGCTGAAATTAAACCCAGTCTAGTTACGCAGCAAAAAGCATGCCCCGTACTGATTTGGAGATAGAGTCACTGGGAGCAAAAAAAAAATCAGGAGGAGACACTTAATTTTGCTGCTTTTTAAGTTGGGATATTAGGAAAGCCCTACACAACCTATGGATGTCTGAGTTTCCACAGAAATAGAAATTCTGCCTCTGGGCCAGGCAGCGTAAGGGCTGTACGTCCCTGGTCCCCTCTCCGGGGCTGCCGCAGACAGCCATGGTTCCCAGCGTTATTTTAATCACGTGCAATGCAGTTTCTCAAAGGAAAGCCCACGTGGTGCCGCAGGATGTGCTGGCGAGCACCCAGCAGTGGCTTCTCGCGATCTGCTCTGGCCCTCTGAGGCACAGGCCTGTCGGGGAAAGACCGAGAGGCTGCACGTTTTATTTGATTTGTGCAGCAGCGTGCACTTAATTGAAAGACCAGTCAATTCGCTGACAGCTAACGTACTTATTTAAAGGGCCTGTGATCACCTGCCTCCACAGGGGCCAGAGGCTGAGCTGGCTTTTGCCAGAAGCACCGCAACACTCCGTGTCCCACACGGGTCACCTGGCATGTGTCACTGTTGGAGGGCGGCACTGTAGCACAGCTCTTCCTCCAAAGGACAACATCCCGGCCCTGGTGACGTCCATGAGAGCTGTGCCTTTGACCTGCCTCTAGCCAGAAATTTATTTAATTTTTAAAAAATCCCTTTGGTTCCAGAGAGGCCTGTTGCTTTTCTTTAATCTAGTCACTGCTGTTAGTGCTGCCCTGAGGTCGGTCGCTGCGGTCCAGGTTGTTACATCCCAGTATCCTTAATCAGGATACACTCGCACCACTAATTACCTTCTCCCCCTCATTACCAGCGTGCAGCTCAGCCCCCAGTGCCGTGACCATCGTGCTGGCGGTGATCGGCAGCGTGGGGCTGATCGGCATCATCCTGCTGGGGCTTTGGAAGCTGCTCGTCACCATTCACGACAGACGGGAATTCGACCGATTCCAAAGCGAACGCTCCCGAGCCAGATATGAAATGGTGAGCGCTGGTTGCAGGGGTGCTGCTGGGGTACGGGGGGAGGGAGGAACTTGGGATGCGCCTGTGGTGATCAGCTCTGGAGCAATGGAGAAGGGAGGTGGGTGAGGGGGATGTGGGTGTCCCTGCCCTGCAGTGCCACGCAGCAGGGCTCGCCGCATTGAACTGCCCTTCCACTCGGGAAGCCCAAATAGGCTGCAGCATGAATCCCAGCATTTGCTTCCATCGTGTATTTCCCAGCAGTGCTGGAGGGCTGAATGAGGTGGGGGAGTGGGGAGGTGACAGCTTGGTCAGGTGTACGAGGAAGGCCTCCTGGGAGGGCTGCCCAGTGCGTGAGGGTGTTACTGTGCCTGCAGGCAGACCGGGAGGTGGGTCTGACGCACAAACTATGGACAAACAGTGCTGCTGTTGGATCTGAGCGCCCATCTCCGTCAAAGCCAAATGCAGAGCTCTCTCCAAATTAATTGGCACAGGAAGGGGGATATACACACATTTTCACCATGACACGGACTTTGTTCCTCACCTTTGTGCTTCTTGTCTGCTCATTTCTCCAAAGGCATCCAATCCTCTCTACCGAAAGCCTATTTCCACACATAACGTAGAGTTCACGTTCAACAAGCTCAACAAGTCTTACAACGGTACGGTTGACTGATGGGGTCTCAGTGCCTGGGACTGCTGTGGACAATTGTTTATGTGCTGCTTCCCCACGTGACGATGGGATCCTCTTCAAGGGTGAGAATCCCTTACGACAGGACTGGTCGGTGGCCCACGCCTGTTATTTGCACAGTAAGGAGAAAAGTGTGGTTCATTCTGGAGGCACGGACGCGAAGGCAGGCTCCCCGCCTGTGCTGACGGACTCCGAGCCGTGCGCAACTCCGTACCCCAGCTTCCTGGATATATTAAACCTGCCAACTAAGTCAACCAAGTGCCATATTGCAGCTTTAGACATATCCCATTAGAAAGGGTGACTAGCTCAAAAATCAGGGGAACCCATGCCATTGCAAGTTGTTGGGGGGGGGGAATTAGCTTACAAAGAAGAGGGTGTTGGAAGCATTTGTGTAAGAAATTAGGATACAAGAGTTCTGCAGTCTTTAGGAATCTTTTTTTATATAAAAAAATAAAACTATTGTGCATATATGATGCTGTGAGTAGGATTCATTGGTTCCTGGCTGAGCACCCCCCCCACTGACAGACCGAATGAGGGCTTGCTCCTGCAAGCGCAAGTGGTGCTGCCTGACTGATTTATTAATAGAGCCTTATCGGTCGAAGCATGGCTATAAAAATAGGAGCTGGAGCCGCAGTGGCTGCCGCAGAAGGTACGTTGATTGAATACCCTGGTGTTGACCCAGGGCGGGGAGTGCTGCAAGGAGCTCTCGCTCCATGCCGGTGGTGTTAAACAGACGGGAAACTGGTGGGAGCCCGAGGGAAATAGGAGTTTAGTCCGAGGAAACTAAACTAAACACCCATTCCCTGGGATGTGCAAGGAGGCATCCGGCCTGGGTGTCTGCAGGAGGGCAGCTGGGCGCACACAGCAGCTCGCCCGGACCGCAGGCACCAGCCCCGCCGGAAGAGCAAGGGGGCCCTGAGCTTTTGGCTGGAAAGGGAGCTGGATAAACCCCAGTGCTGTTGCTTCACATGCTTTGGGGTTTGTTTTTTGCCTCCCCCAGCCCCATCTGTTTTTCCTGGAGCTGGGGTTTGGGTTACCCTGGCAGACAGCTGCAGCTTTAAACCCTCCCAGGGCTGCAGCCGGCACAGGAGAGAGAAGCCGGAGCAATTGCTACTGCCTGCTGCTTTTTTTTTTCTTTTTTTCTTGTCTCTTTGCCCTGAACAGATCATGCAATAGTCAGCTGGAGGAAGCTTGCCAGGGAAAAGCAAAAACAAATGGTGTTCATTGTTTTGACTCGCTCTTTTCACTGGAAAAGGGCCACGGGCCCATCCTTCCGGATTTATTTTTTCTTATTATTTGTTTTTGCCTCTATAAACAGAAGCTCTTATTTGCACAGTATAAACAGCTCTGCTTCGAGAAGTTTATGGTCCCCCCTCCTCCTACCAGACACAGTGAAGAAACGCAGCAGACCACGCCAAAAATAGCTCAAACCAGGGATTTTTAGGAGCGCAAGTGGCACACTGGCAGCATCGACACTGATCAGGTAGGGTAACAAACTCAAAGTCTCAAATAAATGAAACCATTGCCCTGTCTTCCCACTTGATTTTACTAAATCTGCCCTAGCAATGGAGGAGGAGCACACATCCTGAGAACACGTGCGAGGGGAGACTCTGGTACTGCCCTGGTGTAACCCACCCGCGCGTGGGCTGGGGGCTGCGCTGCAGAGGGGCAGCTCTTCAGAGTCCCGTGTTTCCTAAGCAATATTAAAGTCCAAGGCCAAAGTTGCAAGCTTAGATGCTGCGTATTGAATATCTAGGACTAATGCTGCCACCTGGGAAGGAGCATCCACGGGGCAAATTCAGTTTTCGTGACTATCCCACTGCCTCGTGCCAGGCTGGCGAGATAGATTTCATCACTAGAACAAAAGAAAAAATAGGAAACAGTCAAAAAAAATAATCATTGCAAGTAGACAGAGCAAGTGTATCTTGGTTCGTGTGACTGCCTCATGCAAGCTGTACTGCCCAGGGCGTGGAAAGGTGGGAGCAGGAAGGAAAATGGTGAGGAAGGAAAGACAGGGATGTTTTAAACCAGCTTTGCCAGCCAAAGCAGCAAGCACTGGGAAAACAGCTCTGCTGCTATTAATTCACGGGGCACCAAGCAGTTCAAAAGCAAACCCAACCCTTTGCTTTCTTCCTCTGCCCTCCGAGAGGAAAGGCACAGGCACTGCCACCCTTTTCCTTCACACTGTGGCATTTCCCAGCGCACTGGGTTAGCGCCCAGAGGCTGTCCTAGGGAGCCGAGGTTGGATTCAGCACTAAGGGTTTGGGGAGGGAGAGTGCAGAGGAGGAGAGGAAGGGCCTGGGGGCAGGAGAGTAAGCGCTCTCCTTCCCCTGCAAGGGGAGACTGAGCCATACAGCAAACTGAGCTGCAGAGTAGCCAGGGAGTAACGTGGGGAGCATGTAGGTGAGGGAAGGGTGCCGCAGGCTGGGTACCTAAGAAAGAGTAGCAAAAAGAAGGAACAGGGTTGGTTATTGTCAGTGAAGAGCATCCTGCTGCCTGCGTGCTGGGCCAAGCAGCACAGAGCAGCACCCCCAAATTTAGCTTCTCCACAAGGACACATCTAAAAAAAAAAACAAACCACAAAAATAAGGAAGCGATGCTACTTCATTGTGTAAGCAGATCTGCCTTCACCCTTGCAAGGTTAGTGCCAAGCACAGTCATGGGAATGGTGTATTTCAGTCAGCAGCAGTTTATTTGTGTCTGTAAATACAGGCAGCCTGACCACAGCTAGCATTCCTGAATGAAAACTCCAGCAGAAGGCATCAGCGGGTCACATGTGATGGAAAAATGTCAGCGCTTGTCTGGCCAAGCTGGAATCCGGATGCCATTGCAACAGCAGCTCCTCCTCTTTCCCCAGCCACAGCTGGAGGCTGCTGCTGCGAGGCTGCTAGAGCTGGGGCTCCCCCAGTGCGTTTTCCCAGTGTTTCTGGGAGAGAGAGCATCCTATCATGCCTCCGGTAAAGTCTGGGCCATTGGCAGCATTATTTGCTTTGTTAATTGTGGAGAGGCACCGTAACCCTTTGCTGTAACACAAACCTGGGTGAGGCATGGCCCCTCTGCACCCGCTTGGCCCTGCATGGGGGAGTGAGAAGGCGCTCAGCAGCTGAAGGCACAGCCCACTCGGGAAGATGAATGCCCCCCAGTCTTGGACCTGTTCAACCTTGCATTTCTGAAGCCACGTGGAGAGTGAAGGAGCTCGTGGATTGAGGAGAGGGTTGCTGAGACGCCTCACAGGAAATACCAAGGCGAGGGAACTGAGTCAATCTGCAGCCCAGCAGCAACTCCTGGCCCTTACATCCCAGCAGCATCTCCATACCTGAACAGACGCCGAGCTGGAACTGACTGGTGTTCCTCTACCTCCTCTTCACTGCCAGCCTGCAGAAGGTCGGAACAATACAACACAACGACACACAGGGTTTTATTTCATCCAAACCCTTCCTCCATGCCCACTAATTAGTGCTGATGGCCACTGGATGCAGACCAACAGAAACTTCATTCAGCCCTCATCACCCAGAAGGGATACTCAGCCTGCGGGTGGGCAGAGGTCGTAACTGCGGGTTCTCAGGACCCTGCCATGTGCAAGGATACAGAAGCTATACTTTCCAAATTATTTTCTTGCATTTTACTGCAGGTCACCACCATCAAGGCAAGTATACTTACGATTAGCAAAACAAGTATATCTGTACTATAAATTATTGCCAAAGCAAACATGTATTTCAATAGCAGCAGAGATCAATATTAGCAGCAATGGGTATCAGCAGCAAGTATATATTTCAAATTAAAAGTTACTACAGAAGAACTTCTTCCTGATACCTAATCTAAACCTCCCCACTTTCAATTTAAACCCATTACCCCTTGTGCTGTCACTACAGGCCCTTGTAAAAAGTCCCCCCCAGCTTCCTTGTAGCCCCTTCAGGTACTGGAAGGTGCTATAAGGTCTCCCCAGAGGCTTCTCTTCTCCAGGCTGAACAAGCCCAACGCTCTCAGCCTGTCCCCATAGCAGAGGGGCTCCAGCCCTCAGAGCCTCTTGGTGGCCTCCTCTGGACTCGCTGCAAGCAAACCAACCTGTGGGAGGCTGGACCAGGCAGATGAACTGCTCTGTGTGGTCACCAAGCTGCAAGAGGATACAGGCAGACTGAGAAGCATTTGAGAGTCCAAGAAGGGGATTGACCAATGGAGCTGTGCTCTGCAAAACCTGAAGCTGAAGCAGGCACCAGGCCGAGTTTTAACTTGCTGCAGCATTCAAACATGAAGCTGTACTTGTCACTGTGGTACAGACTGACCAAGAAACAACAGAGTGATTCCAAACAAACAAAACATCCAGCCTGTCTAGCCTGCTGTCCAGTGATAAGTCTTCCAAACCAGACCATTTCCCCAAGTCAGTGACCTCCAAAACTCAGATCTGGAAGCAAATTTCCTCTGGCTGGTTCACATTCCCTTAGTCTTGTTCCCTAAATGCAATGTCTGTGTCACTTGCTAAAAAAAAAAATCCCACAGCAACAGGCATTCCAAATAAATTTAAAGAGAAGTGATTCAGTTATTTTTCTGGGATTAAGTCTTTAATAAGTTTTCACAGAATAGGAAAATATCTGTGAAATACACAGTATACGGAATACAGAAACACTAATACGACCTGTCAATTTTTGGTTAATGAAGCAATGCCAATACTGTGACATACAAATCATACTTGTAAGGACAAAAATCTTAACTCAGCTGGTTTTAATTCAGTGATGGGTTTATCGAGATTTTGCAAGAATTTTAAGTCAAGTACAGCACCGTACTTAGGCAGTTATACCAGTTCAAGTGCCCAGGTTCTCCTGACACAGCACTCCCTGTGCTAGCCAGAGACAGCCACAACCTCGGAGAGAGGGAGTGAACTTCACATTCAAGTATCAAAAGCTACACAACAAGTCCTTAACGGTTCCAGCTCGTGCTGGTCTCTCAGGCAGTCCCTGCTATGACTTGCTCAGAAACAGCAGCACGTCAGCCCTCTTCCTGCAGCAAGCACTGACACTGCTCGATCAGCCTCATTTTGCTATGAAAAGCACGCTGCCCTTTCATTCTGTGGCAAACCATACTCCAGTGTGGATTAAGGATCACAATTTCATATAAATGCCTACTCGCCAGATAATATAAACCACGTGATGACCCAGAAATTTAAATATAGCCTTACACCGCTACCCCAGACTCGATCGGATCCGAGAATGAACTGCAAGACTTTCAGATCCATATATTATGATGCAAATGAGTTTTGTAAATTCTGACCTAGTTCCCATGTTAGGTCAGGAATGTGAGCAGTGGGGGCAAGCAAGGAAATTAACATTTGTTCTTAATTTGAAATGGATTTTTAATCACTTTCAGGTGCCTCAAAGAAAGTCCGCACACTTGTTTACTAGAATCATTCTGACAGAAGAATGCAGAGGAGGTAACATGGCTTTGTTTCACTAATTGAAATGTTTGCAACACTG